TATGTTTATTATTTCTGTAAATTATGTTAGTATGTAAAAAAAATAAAGCAAAGTCCCAACTCAGAGATCTTATTTTATTTTCACAAATTCCTATCTAATTTGATTGCATTCAAAAATAAAATGTTTAATCAATCCTTTAATGTGGTTTTGATCATTTAGTTTAGAACACCTTTCCTTTTGAACTTTGTGCTCTTTATTTTTATATAAATGCTTAAACATCACTTTCATCTCTTAAATGTTACCTGTATTTTCTTTCTTTTCTTTACTATAATTTATTACATTTTTATTGCCTCCCATTTTCATACTTGTACAGTATATATTCACATATTGCATTTTTTTTTTTTTTTTACCCAAATGAAAACAAAACTGGATCGCCATCCATTCATTTACACTATTCATGTTTTGTAAACTCTTGCTATTCTGATCCTGGGACCTTTTATTTTTCTTATAAAAAACAAGATGCTTCATGATGGGTTCCTGTTGCCTCTGGTTGATTTCTGCTGAAATTATCATAGATTAACAAAATATACTCTGCTGGCTCTATATTGTAACAGGCTGATTTCCACAACCAGAATCCCTGACTTTCTTTCACTGTTAAAGCTCCATGTGGTTTCCCCCGGTGCATGCAGGCTGTGATAATACATCATAACCAAGTGGGTAATATCCCTATAAGCACCAAATGATCTCTGACCCGACTCTCAGCGGCTGACGTGCTTAATATTCCTATTTCCATTTTCCACAAATTCTCCCCCACCCTCCCTCTCCCCATTCTCTCTTTCTCACTCCGCTCTCGTTGGATGCATGTAATTGCCTAATTCAACATGCATTAGAAATGTAGTGTTTAAGTAATCATTGCCGATAAGATGGGGATAACATTTCAATTACCTTGTCTTTGCATTATCTCTGCTACAGTGTACATAACAATTAAATATTCCACATGGCATGATAACGCCAGCTGTTTCGTGTACAGTTCATGTTGTCACCTGTTTTTAAAAATTATTTCACACAACGTAGTTTTTTTAAAGCTAGAAGTTAAATTTTTTTTCTCTAACACCAATTATGCACATTATATATGTAGTATTTACTTGCAGAATTTTTTATTTGCATGGTCAGGTTTCTAATTGTTATCTGCACTTTAAAACAAAAGTTTCCAATTCTTACAGGGTTTTAAAGGCATCACAAAGGAAAGATTTTCTTTCCTAGGGTTTATGTATTTTTTTTTTTACTTCTGTTTTCATCTTTATTTTCTTGTTTAATTAACATTTCTAATTCAAATGTTTTTTCTCTCTGAGTGGTAGAAGCATCAAGTTGAAGCCCTATGTATGAAAACACTGCATGAATTTCAGGGCAATGGTAAGAGCAAAATTTACTGAAGTTCTTTAGCAGACATTTCAAGCCAGATGTTACAAACACCATCAGCCAGATGCGTGTTTGTAACAAAGTGCCACCTATGTTTCCTGGAGAACCTAAAGCTAGAACCTAGGTTAGATAAATGTCTATAAATTATTTACATTTCTTAAGTTTTTAAAGCCCGTATAGTTTTTACTTATTTTGCAAAGGCAGAGTCTGCAGGGAAATTAATCAGTAATATTTATAATCATACATTGATCCATATGGGCTAAAGATTTAAAGATGTTTTTTTTTTTTTTTTTTTTTTTTTTTTTTATCTCATCAATTTAACATCTATGACTGTATCATCCTGACTTTAATGGGGGTGTTAGACTCATGGGAAAAAATGCACTGATGTTTAAATGCAACTTGATTGCTTCAACATATATTAAAAACCTTTTGCCTTCCCCTGTTCGGTAACAGCAGATTTTTTTCAATTCCTGTGCTTCTTGTGAGGTCATCAAACTGATCTTGCATGTATATATATATATATATATTTTTTTTTTCATCTCAGTTTGCCTTTTAAATCAGTACAATGAAAAACTGAAACTTCACAAACAGCGACATTTCCATTCTTACTTTACTTTTTTAGTAATTCAACATTGGAAAATCTCTTTAACAGCGGCGAGAAAGTAGAAATTAACTGCTGAAACTGTCAAGAAAGCATTGATTTTCAAAGTGTTATGCTTCTTCGACCGCTCACAGAGAAAGTGGAAGTAGAAATAATTTTTTTCCTGAAATTTCTTTCTGAAATTTTGCTTAAATTTTCAACTTCCTTGGCTGAAGTTTCACAGATGACTCATAGAAGCGTTACCAGATGTTTTCTGTTAAAAACAGGTTGGTTGCCCCTCAATGAGCCCGGATCGGCACTTTAACACTTTCTCTTCCAGGGCTGCACATTTTCTCAAAGGCCATGCCAGGAATGTTGACTAATTACTTCCTCAGCAAGTCCTGTGGTTCCTTGACAAAAATGGTACAAGTGCAACCTTGCTTTTAGCCAGATTGCTGCTTTCTTCTATATGCAGAAGCAATAAACAGCTGCAGCAGACTTTCAAGCAGACCCTTATTTACCCTATTGACAGGCGCCATGAGTTTTTGAATGTTTCCCTGTGTGACTCAGAGGTTTGAAACAGAAGAAGAAACAGCAGATTATATGAAGAGATAGAATGGTAGAAAATTAGATAAAACCTGCATATATTGTAAAAAAAAAAAGAAGAGGAAAAAAAAAACGTCTGTGTGGCATGTGGCTGGGGCAGTTACAGCCGGATATGCTTTACTGCCTGAAGGCAGATAGCAATCTTGCAACTTTGAAGTAGCAGAGTTCGAATGAGATTGGTAGTGTATCTTCTTCAGTCATGTTGGCCTTTAGGGCTAGTGGAAAATTAAACAAAATACCAAGAAAAGACAAACACACTTACTTGCTGAAAAGTGGCTCTGTTTGAGATTTTAAAAGAATATGCAAACAAACAGTTATTTTATTCCACTGTACTATTAAAGGATTGGATGTTTCTGTTGGTTGCCAGAAGAGGTAAACAAGATTATACCCATTTAATACCATCATGGTATTATGATGATAGGGAAATAACTGGATATCTCATTAGATGCATTACTTTGGTGCATTAATGGCATAATGACTCTGTAATGGAGAGTTTATCTTAATCTAAATTAATTATGTGCAAACATTTGGGGGGACTTTACTAAGATCCTGCATAAAAATAAATACCATAAGAAAATGCTGCAGTAGTTGTCATTGTGAAGCTAGTCTCACAAAGCATTACCAATTTGCTGCATTGGTGTCCTTTCATCCTTCACCCTGTGCTTAACGTCTACCTTAATTCTATTTGAGTACCTTATGCTGTGTCTATGTATAGATTTATTGTTCTACCGGTAAATGCAATACATTAAACCTACTTTAACTTTGAAAAAAATCTATTATGTTTTGCTTATAGTCTTCTGTAAGGAGTTGTAGTTTAAAAATGTCAATATCCAGTATCAAAAGGTCCCTTAGGGTTGATTAGATGTGACATGAGAGCCACTATATTCTAAAGGGAATCTGAACTCATTTGATTAGTGCTTAATATACATGGATCATACACAGATTATTTAAAGCGGGTCCCCCCATCTTTTGGTCATCACAGTGCCTAAGAGGTTGTCTGTCACAAAATGTACAGTGCAACCAGAGCAACATTTTAACACCAGGCCACACCAGACACTCTATCCTCCACCTAGGCTCATATGCTTATCTGTTATCTTAAACTTCAGCTAAATACATTTGAAACTTCCCTCTGTTTGTGAGGACTATAAAATGAGCATTCTTGCTGCCAAAGTCTAGTCTAATCAGATAAATTTTCTACCCTAAGGGCACTTTTTTTTTTTAAGATTGTGTTTCCTAAGAACCCTTGTTACCAATCTTTTAAAAAACAGCATGGGGAGTGAATAAATTATCCATCATCATGTCTCAGTTATTACACCTATAATTTAACTAAGAGAACAGGATCCCTATTAGAAAATGACTGATAATTTTTTACTTAATTTTGGAGTTAAACTTGTTGGAATTGTGTGTGTTTTATGTATCAGTGAGTCCTGTTTATTTTGATCTTAAAGTGTGCTTAAGCTTTGTTAAAGTGCCCGAAAAGCAATTCCTTATATTTATTTTGGTTTCCTGTAATTTTTTAACTATATTTTTTAAGCCTGTTATTATGCACAAATATGAAGTTCCTAAACATCGAATTTGCATTAATGTTCTTTTGGATTTAAAAGTTAAACATAATAATGACATCTACATAAAAATATAGTACTGAGTGACTTTGCTGACTTGTTTTCCACACATGCAAAAATAGTGATGATCAATATAGATATATAGATATTTTGTTCTTTTGATTAACTAAACATTCTATATTAATAATTGAACTAAAAGTTATAATGAAAGTTCACATTACCCAAAAGTCATTCAGATTCATCAACATTTTTAGAAGTAAATGCCTAGTTACTTTGATTTGGCAGTAATTGGGTTGCTTGGGATAAGTAACTAGTAACTAATAACTAGTTACTTTATTTAATTTCTTTTTTTAACGTTCCCAGCACTGGTTGCAACCGGGTACTTAGCTCCAAAAACTTTTACAATACCTTAAAATGTTTAACCTAACCCTTATAAGTTTGGGCAAGGTTATTTATTTCCATGATTAATCTAAGGGATTACACTCTGTTCCAGAGTCTTCCCCATCACACATAAAAAATATTTTATTTTAACTGACCTGAATGTACAAAAACCTGCTAAATATTTGCGTAGAAATGTATGTTGTGTAAATGGAAATACAATTCTATTCTTTCTCTCTGAAAGGCTTCTATAGAGTACAAATGACCTCTAACCACCTAACAAGGCATGATGAATTATTTATAGGATGGATCTATTTACTGTCACGTGTTTTCCCTTGTTTAGTTTTTTTACATTCTTAGTGTTAATGCATTAAAAACAATAAGGTCATTGCGGGAAAATATCTTCAAATTTAAGATACTGGATAAAGTTTAATGATCTACAATTTGCCGTTAGCGATAGTTTATGAGTGTCAGGCGCTTAAAAAACACACACAGCAGTTAGTGGGTTCACCACATATTTATATTTAGATCAGGGAAACCACAAAGTCTTGTTTCTCAACCGTCTCTTCTTCCCTCACATGCAACATGGAAAGAAGTGTTGCTGCCTCTCTCTGTCTCTTTTACTATCTCTTTACTTCACTGTTCATATTGCATATTTTTTACTCTCCCACCTTTCTGAATCTTTACTGTTTCTCTTGCTTGTTTTGTTCTTCTTTCTTCTAAAATCTTTTGGGTTTCTCTCCCTCAGTTCCCAATAATGTTCCTCCTTATCTGCAGCCGAGATACAATTGAGCTGAGTGCACCCCCCTCCTTTATAAAAGGGAGAAACACGCCACAATACTACAAACAACAGTACTCAGGGGCTGTTTCCCCTCAGGATTCATCAGAAACTAGACAAACATGATGGACGCTCCTTAACCTTCACACCTTTTCTTCTTCGATCTCTCTATGGGGAAAAACAAGAAAAAAACTTATTGTAGGTTAAACTTAAAATGACCAAAAATAAATGAGCAATTTTTTGTTGTTGTTATTATTCTTACATATTTTTTTGCCATTATAATCATCCTGTCTCTTTGTCTTAAACCTGTTTCTGGAGTTTGTTGGTGGATGGAAATCCGCAATAAAAGCTCCAACATTATAGTTTTTTAAACGGGTCGGGACATGGAGAGGGGAAGGCATGGATGGGGGAGGGAAGGAGGAATGCATATCCAGTGATCCCATGATTTTCTCGCAGACAAGCACTCTGTAGCTCTTTTCAACGCAGGCACAATGAGCACTCTATCGAGGAGCTAACCAGCCATGTCAAGCCGTGGCCTGTTTGATTAAAGGGCAAGAAAGAGGGGCTTTATCTGCTAATGATTTGAAGGAGAACAAAACTTATTCTGTTTTCAATTGGCATGGCTGGGAGGGGGACTCCTCTGCATAGACATTTCTGGTCATGCGTAAGAGAAAAAATGTCAATGTTTGATTCAATGTTTGTGTGGAAGGATACCTCTGCTTATCCAGGCGGAGGTCAGTAAGTCCTAAAAGATTAAAAAAAAAAAGAAAATCACAACCCATGAATATCTGAAGAACCTGATGCTGAAGGAAAAATAAAATGCAAACCTAAAACAATTTGATGGTAGGGACATAATTAGTTCTGCACAGCTGTGGCTTTTATTATTTCCTACATGGCTTCCTTAGAGTGCTCCTTATAATCCCTGAAATCATTATTTAAATATATTTCTGGAGGCTTTCTGAAGGTCTTAAAAAAGTCTGAAATACAGTCCTTTAAAAGTATTTGTGCACCTAAAATATTTCCAATTTGGATACATTTTACCCATAAATATTAATGTACAGCCAAAGGTATGATGGAAAGATTTAGATCAGAAAACATTCATTCATCTTAATGACTTAGTCAAACAAGGGTTGAAAAAAAAACTATTTTAGTGACTGATGCACAAAACAGGTAGAGAAGCAACAAAAGACTTAAAAATCTATTGCAGCAAAATGTGCTTCTGCAAAGTATCAACTCAGAGGGGATGAACACAAAATGATGCCACACTTTCCAGATTTGTAACTGAAAAAACATGTGTTACTTTCAAATCCCAATTATATACAATTGTGTATATGAACCAAAATAAATTGAAGTCTCTCTTTTGGGTTTTAATGATTTTCATGAAAACTTTAAATGTTAGTGAGGCAGCCATAAAAGATTACAAAAGTCTGTCTCTCAGGTAGTAAAAGATTTAGAAAACTACATTTAAGCAAAGTAGTCGAAAATATTTAAGGCAATACTGCTTCCATCAGTTAGAACTACAGCCACAATGATTAATATGTCTAACAATCGAAATCCTTATCTAAATTTTTTTACCTTTTTACAAACTTGATTATCAGACACATGTTGGAGCTTTAAAAGGCAATTTAGTACTCTGGCAATTTTAACCATGGCAATGACACATTAACAGAACAGGTTATGTCTGTTTCTTTAAGTCTTTAAAGACTTTTTTTTAGAGCACCATCTTATGTAATACTTAGTTTTAAAATCCTCTCAGCTAGACTGAAATAGTTTTTTTTGAGACCTTTTCTGTCTTTTTATGAGATGACTTTTTACATTCCATGCTGACTCCAGACTTTACCTGCCGTGCTGCCATCTGTATTTGAGTGGCAAATAACTGCCAGCTCTCTGATCCTAATAGCTGCATTAATTAGTTCCTCATTAAAGTGAGACGCACCGTAAAGGTCAAAAACAGCTGACATCAGTTGTCAGACAAACATCTAATATGTTTGACTGCTGCTGCAGGTGTTTAATTGGTGTGATCAAGATCTTGGCCACTCTTGATTAAATACAGGTCATTTTTATTAATGTAACACCACACAATCATTTGCTGCAGGCTTCCATTGACTATGCGGGTATAAGCAGCAATGAGTTGTTTGTCTGCCTTTTCTGGCTAAATAGCAGAAAATGAATATGTAATGCAGACACATAGGTCCTCCAAGAACAGCCTTGAAGAGCACTACGATTAAAGGGCCTCAGTGACAGAGCTGCGAGCTATATTAAAACCACTCTTCACATAATGAGGCCCTTTGCTCTGCAGCGAGATGGCAGATTTGCTCCCCTCTTCATTTGTTGCAGACTGAAATGCCACCTCCTCCGTGTGTTACTCACAGATTCAGACCTCCAGGACTCCTGCCTCCTCCAAACAATTCACTCTTCTCTTAGGTTTATCAATAATGGTGGATAAAAAAGAAAACACTTTTCACAATTTTTTTTAAGTTAAATGTGAAAAATATGCATAAAGGTCAGCAATAACCTAGGGTTACATCAACTACTAGGATGCTTCGGCATTTGTTCATCTCTGTAAGTCATGCTTTTTAAGTTTTCCGTGACTATGTCACAAAGTTAAGACATATTTGCCTTAACTTCAATGGTTTTTCTTCTAAAAATACGTGTCTTTAAAAAAAAATGTATTCAAATTGTTTTCATAAAAGCTCTTTATTATCCCTATGAAAGGACAGACATTGCAAACGATTGAGTAAATAAAGGAAATACAATGTTGTGTTCCCTCTAAAAGAAATATTTTTATAATGTTTTTGAAAAAAAGCAAATTTTGATTTATTTTAGTTATTGTTTGTTATGCCAACCTCAATGCAGTGCATTTTGATCATTAAAAGTGTTACATCAATGCTATATTGTTTTAAATAATTTAATTATTTATTATATCTGTTTTAGGTTGAAATTACAGAAAAAGTAATTAGTCAATTTAGAAAAAACAAAAAGTGTTTTGTAAGTTAAAATTTATGATTAATAAATACTCTGCCACTTCAGTTCACTATGTCGCATCTAATCTGGGTAAGAAAGCAGATTTATGACACACCAAGTATTAGGAAAATGTTACCTCTAATGAGTTCAAAGCAGTGGCAATATAATTACATTTGTTTGGCTATTTTGTGAATAATTATTTTTGTTGCGGATCTTATCTCTTCCTAATTATTTAAATCAATTTCAAAGTAAAAGAAAAAGAAAAACAAAAGACATCCAAAATAGGACCAGAACCACTGTTTGAGAGTTAAAGTCTTTAAGTCCCAGGTTGGTATGAGGATTACAGAGATGCTAAAATATTTAAAAACATTATCCAAAATTACAACATTTCCAGAATGAGCTAATTTAAGCAGGTGCTAAAAGCAAAATAAAAGCAAAGCAGGTTTGATTTAAACAGTAAAACACAGAGGTGGAGGAGTTGTGATGGGGCTTATAAATGGTGTTGAATTATGAGGTGTGGTAACATTCCTACATTTTATGCATTTTACTTATAAATAATGAAAAAAAAGATCATGTTTGTGGTTTTTTTTAACCTGTTCTATTGGCTGATTCGAACGTTTATTGTTTTAAATCAATTAGAATATGAAGTTCTGAAAGAAACAAGGTGAACATTTTTATTCTAACCATGCTTCACATTTAACAGCTTTAAAACCAAAGAACATGTTTTTTATCAGCTCTTCAGTAGAGGGATGTTTGCACATGTGCAAGCAGGCAGAGATATGGCTTCATAAGTGAATATCTCTGTTATCATGCCTATGATTATATCTCCCTGCAGTTTGTGTGTCACAAGCTTCTGTGTTGAGTTTAAAAAAAGCAAGAAATCTGGCAATCAGCAGATGCTCGAGCCAGAAGAAACAATACTTTTTTGCCGAAAGCAGCACCGTAAAACTGATTGAAATGGTTTTGTCTTCCATATAAAACTCCCATTTCTGTTTTTTATTTCAGATATGACAAATTAAATAAAATCAGACTTAACTGCATCATCTCAAAGAAAACTGTTCCTTTCCAGATTATGCAAAGTCTTTTTTTGCTCTTTTCTCTCTTGTGGGTAAGACAATAAAACATCATAAATTAAATTATTTTTTAGATATAGTGTCCTTAACTGACCAAAAAACACACAACAAATGTATTCCAGATCAATAACATTATATGACATATATAGCCCAAATTAAATAAGATAATATATAAACTTTCAAAGCAGTAATCCTTTGAGTACCTGCTGGAAGCAGAATGACTTTTCTTCATGACATGGCTGAGTGGCTTCAGGGACCCATGTGGTTCTGTGGCCCCTGGTTGGTGGGTATATCTTTTGATTGAAGCCGTGGGGTGCAACATTTTACAAGCTGTGCCACTGGAGAAAGTTTTTGTGAGGAACACAGGAGGCATTTGCATTTGAAACAGCTAGGCCCTGCCCTCTTTCTCTGCTTTCCTCGCTTCCTCCGTGGCCTGGGGGTAATGCTCTCTTTTCCATCAGGAACAGATCTGTGCACCTGTGGATTAAACACACTAAAACAACAGACACACACACACACACACACACACACACACACACACACACACACACACACACACACACACACATCTGTGAGCCCCGTCTCAGACAGAACGACTTCACCTCCAGTTGACTTCAAACTGTTCTGCCATGTAGAAAAAAAAACCCAAAACATAAACAACCAGCACCTTGAATGAAGCCAATTTTACAGCGACAAGATAAATCAATGTAAGCAATGATTTCATTAAATGTATGAATTCATTCAGGGTGATGATTTTGTGCTAAATCCTGTTCTTGGCATCAATTCTTTAGTACAATCATCCATTGGCATCCCTGTGCACCCATATAAAACAAAACTTTAACAGTTGCATAATCTAACAATAAAAAACAAATACTGCAGTTTTCTAAATCTTTTTACTTACTCAGCATCCCTCTCATCGTGGGTGATGGTAAAATTTAATTATCTCTTTATTCAGTCTTGTTTACCATTGTCATTTAAATAACTCATGTAAATGTAGACATGGGAAGGTGAAGGTAGGCATGGACCCCAGAAAGTTAGGCTTTACTCCCCATGCCACCATCCTGCACCCCTTCCCCCGCACATATAAAGCTCTAGCATTCCCCTGATCACGCAACTGATAATTGTAACATGACACAAGCTACCACCAGAATGTAGTGGACTCACATTCACAACATGTTCAGGTTATTAACGGAATAAGAAGAGCTTAAATAAAAATGTCCAACTCATCCCTGCTCTAAATATATCTGTCCTAAAGCTGAATGAAGTCCTTGGTTTTCCTCAAACCATCTGCTGTGGTCAACATATCCCAATGTGCATGAGCGCAAATTATTAGGTATTCTGTGGGTCATTATTAATCTTAAATATATCGATATATCCAGGGCAGTCGGTGTCTGCCACAGCGTCACAGGAGCTAGAAGGAGCAGCAGATTCTGAAGCTTTCCCAGGAGATCAGGTGAGGAGACAACAGCTGCAGGTCCCTTAACTTTCACGACATTGTGTTGAAAAAAATCAGTGATTTTACTGTACTTTACACTGCATGAAAAGTGGGATTTTCGTCAATATGCAGCACTGTAGATTGTCGTGGAAGTTCAGGTTAACGGCAGTTTACGGTAATTTGCAGGCGTCGCCGAAAACTCCCATAAATTGTCAGAAATTGCCGTGGGCTTTCTTAGGCAGTGTTCCCCCCATGCCCCCCCCCATGGAATTCTAGGGGAGGCTTTAACATGTAGCTTTAGGATAGCCCTACCCTTTCACCTGTCCTTGAGGGTGACTCCTAACTGAGTGGGTTAGGATTCACCCTAATTCTTCAAGAGTTAGGGTGTATTTTTAGATCATATACCCCAGGTAAACAGGACGTTGTGAGCTATTGTTTAAATAACTTTAAGAGAAGATATATTCTTTAACAAAGTTTATGTTTTTGAGCTCCACAGATTGACTCAGGTTCATCGATAGCTCTTACACGCAGTGCAAGAGTGCAGTGTAGAGCTATTCTTCATCTTAAGTTGTTGTCTCTCAAAATAATTTAAAATACATTTGTAATACATTTGAAGCATGCAGCTATACGATGCCATTTTGTTCCATCATTTAACTCAAAACTCACTAGTAAATATATTACCATAGATAACTTCTTGCCAACTCGTCTAAAGTAGTAAGCAACTAAAATGAGTTTTATAGCATATTTCAGTGGCAAAGCAATTCAGAGAGTTTTACATCATAAAAACATCAGAAAAAAGTGCAGTGAAATCATTAAAACATCCAAATCATCACACATAATCATATAAATCATCAACCACATACATATGATAATCAATTTGAGATGTTCAATGTGTGATAAGAAATTTTGTTTATAGCAGCTTTTAACCTGGATTTGTTTCCAGACTACTATTCAAAGGCCGCTCTAAACGAGTGACTCTTTGGCCTTGATTTAAAGGAATTGTGGAGGATTTTCTCTCTACTTTGATTCATTCAAATTATTATTCATTGCCAATATGTGTGACATTTTACCGTAATGACAGAAAACTGTGACTGTAGTCTTATGGGCCTTTCAGATAGGAAGCGTTTGCGCTGCGCTGGCCGCGGGGTTCAGCGCATTTGCGCTGCGCTGCGCTGCGCCGGCTGGGTTGCAGGTAGTCATTTGTTTGTTGTTCCAGCTTTTGCTCAGCAGCAAATATGTATCTGACCCGTGCTAAGAAGCAAGCGCTAGCACTAGCCCTGCTAGTTCGAAGAAAAAGAGCAGCAAGGAAGAAGAGGCTGTGGGTGCACGAAACCCTCAGGTCCAGAGAGCAGCTTGGGGAGTTCCGGCTTGTGAAAGAGCTCCGTTTTCACAGCGACCGGTTCCAGGTCTACTTTCGGCTCAGTATGGAGCAGTTTGAGAGTTTGCTGGGGAGAGTCGGACCAAGGATCTCAAGGATCCATACAAATTACCGGGAGCCAATTTCTTCTAGGGAGCGTCTGGCAATTTGTTTGAGGTAGGTGATTTACATTAAAATAATATGTAATAAAATAAATCTAGGCTACTTTTCATTTTATAGCCTGTTTTGCTGGAGTCCCGCTAGTCATGTCTTTCTCCCGCCCACACATCAGGGGTTTTTCCGCCTGCACAATGTAAATGGAAGTTAACTTGTATTAATTACTATTAGCTCATTGATTTCTTTATAGGCTGTTTATAAAATATCCTTCGACTGATTAGGCTACATGGAAACTGTATTTCAAATTAGCTTTGTTAGAGGTGGTTGAAAGTTGTGCAGTTTAATTTTTATTGAGCATTATGATGTTATTCATTTCAGATACCTTGCAACTGGGGACTCCTACACCACAATTGCTTCTAGCTACAGAATGGGCATCTCCACTGTGGCAGACATTGTGCCAGATGTGTCCAAGGCCATTTGGGACAGCCTGGTGGATGAATTTCTGCCTGTACCAAAGGTTGCTGATTGTCATGAGATTGCTCTGGCTTCCAAGAGAGGTGGAACTTCCCCAACTGTGTGGGAGCAATAGATGGGAAACATGTGGTAATCCAGGCACCACATAATTCAGGTTCCCAGTATTTCAACTACAAGGGAACATACTCTGTTGTCCTTCTGGCAGTTGTGGATGCAAGGTATCTTTTTAGGGTGGTGGATGTTGGAGCTTTTGGCCGGAACAGTGATGGGGGGACCCTTGCTGCTTCCACCTTTGGAGAAGCCCTGCGAGAAGAGAAGCTGCATCTCCCAGAAGATGCTCCCCTTCCAGGCGCCAATCACCTGGGGCCCATGCCTCATGTCTTTGTGGGAGATGAGGCTTTCCCCCTTAGGTAACTTATATTAATTATCAGGGGGGGATTTACCATTAGGCAATACTAGGCAGCTGCCTAGGGCCCCAAGTTCCTTGGGGCCCCATAAAACCCTGTTTCCATGTATGGTTAATACAACTATTCCTTATTTCCTTATTTGAAAAATCTTTCATTCCTTTAGAGACAGCATGAAAAGTCAGCTGAGTACAAAACATAGAGAGGAAAACAAGAAGAAAAGGGACAAGAAGAGAGGGACACAACCTAGAACAGATAATGGATGTCTATTCTATTAACATTTCTCTATCTGGAGAATGGGTCTGTTTTATGTGTTGGCTTCTCCATTCAGAGGGCCCCCTGCCTGTCTTTGCCTAGGGCCCCAAATTTCCTAAATCCACCCCTGTTAATTATACATTATGCTCTACATTATATATAGAGTGGAATAATTTGCCTCTGAACAAAAATAATCTCTGGTTTTCAATTCCCATGCAGTATCACATTTGTATAAAATTACCTTTTAATTGTCTGATTACTTGTTCTGTAGCATTATGTTAAATATTAAAGTTTTTCATTGTTGGTTATTGAATTGTAGCTTGTTTCTCTGGTTAAATGTGTTTTTTTTCTTATTTTATCACAAGGAGGAATGTGCTGAGGCCATATCCTGGAAGAAACCTCTCCCAACCAAAGAGGATCTTCAACTACCGCCTATCAAGAGCGAGACGAGTAGTTGAGAATGCCTTTGGGATTCTTGCTGCACAGTGGAGAATCTACCACCGGGTGATTGGAGTGAGCCATGAAAATGTGGATGCTGTTGTGAAAGCTACAGTGGCCCTTGACAACTTCCAGAGGTGGAACTCCACAGCTGAAAATCCTGTCCCATTGGAAGAACGTGACTTCCCTGCACTTCAACAAGCAAGGAGAGCGGGCGCCAAGAACGCCACCCAAGAGGCTGTAGCTGTACGGGAGGCCTTCAACAGTTAATTCTCCTCCGCCGTTGGTGAAGTGCCCTGGCAATACAACCTAGCCTGACGTGCCCACCTCTCACCTGTCAACCCTCTGCTACTCTTCCTCATCATAAAACAAAGGCTCTTTTAAGAGCCACTCACTTATTCTTTAAAGTGCTGATTTCCCAAAAAATATTTATTCCAGCATTCTTTGTGTGTTTACACATACCTGGCCAATAAAACCGTGATTCTATCTTTCTGCTAGATGTGTACTTTACAAATAACCATAAATAGTAAATTAAATGTGATATGTATGTTTCCTGACTTAAAACTTTAACAGACATAGTGCAGTGATTGACTTTCTTTTAGTTTACATTACCTGTTATAGTCATTATTTTCATTATCTTCATACAATTCTCCTAATTGAAATATATATAGGTAAGAACTAATCTGACGTCCTTAAGAACATATTCATTACATTCATTACCATATTAATATTACTTTATTTGCAATGTCTTGGAACACAAATGCAGAGCTTATACACTAAGCAAGAATTCATCATAACATGAATCAAAACTCAAACAATGAATTAAGTAAACTACTTAAGTATTAGAACAAGG